GACCTGGTTTAGACCTGGTTTAGACCTGGTTTAGACCTTGGTTAGTCCTGGTTTAGATCTAGTTTAGACCTGGTTTTAGTCCTGGTTTAGACCTGTTTTAGTCTGGTTTAGACCTGGTTTAGACCTAGTTTAGATCTAGTTTAGACCTGGTTTTAGTCCTGGTTTAGATCTAGTTTAGACCTGGTTTAGTCCTGGTTTAGATCTAGTTTAGACCTGGTTTAGTCTTGGTTTAGTCCTGGTTTAGACCTTGTGTTAGTCCTGGTTTAGATCTGGTTTAGACCTGGTTTAGACCTGGTTTAGATCTAGTTTATATCTAGTTTAGACCTGGTTTTAGTCCTGGTTTAGATCTAGTTTAGACCTGGTTTAGTCCTGGTTTAGATCTAGTTTAGACCTGGTTTAGTCCTGGTTTAGATCTAGTTTAGACCTGGTTTAGTCCTGGTTTAGACCTGGTTTAGACCTTGTGTTAGTTCTGGTTTAGATCTAGTTTAGACCTGGTTTCCGGCAATGAGTGGAATTACCAAAAGAAAAAAAAGGGGGGAATATAGCCCAAAATGTGAAAACAGGAAAATACCGCTGTGTAATCCATTTATTTTAACAAAATAACTGTAATCCAATTACCACTCACTGAAACAGTAACTGTAACTGAATACAGTTACTCATAATTTGTACTCTGATTACGTAACTCTGGTACATGTAATCTGTTACTCTCCAACACTGCCCACAGGAGACTATAAAGAATGATCTTATATTTTGTAGTCAGTCCCTTGTCCTTTATTTGGGTCTACTGTGTGTATATAAAGGACCCTGAATCTCTTATAAAGAAATAATCAATATTGGTTTGTCACTTAATCCTTTTGTTTGTCACACAATTGATAACTAGCATTACTAAACATTTATTTATTTATTTTAGAATTAAAATTTAATCACCTGTCATCATCATATAAGACATTTTCTACAGTTAAAAAAGTGGTTATTTATCACATTTGCTAAAGATATACATCATTCATTTGAAAACATTCTCAAATATTAACACATGCCAAGAACATCAGAACAATAATTATAAACAGATATTTTCAATGGCCAAGTTACAAATAGTTTTAAATTATTTCAGCCAAACAATACATTTATAAATGGACAATCATGTAAAAGATCTACAACATAAAGTAATTGAAGCATCTGGTGTAAATTTTAGTTTCGTGGTTTATTTCAGCATTTGTTGCTCCATGTAAAAATTAGCAGTGCCATACATAATTACATTTTGCATATATCAAAATAAAACCAAAGTCAAGGATTGGGGTTTTAATATGTTTGTTTACCTGCAACAAAAGGAAATTGTATAATTATGCAAATCACATCATTTAAAAATTTAAACGTGTACATTGAATAATTCTGCTGACGGTAACATACTATTTGTTTTTGCTATTCACATTTAAAGAAATAATTATGTTTATTTTTCTAAATGATGCAATATTGATCTAAACAGATTTGTAACAGAATGGACTTCCTGTTCAAAACTACAGAGATGAGAAGCCCCACCACTTTACAGTGGCATTTTACCATAGCAAGCAGCAGATACTTTTTTTTTTTAACCTTTGTTCTGCATCCAAGACTTGAACGCTCAGAAAATTGCCATTTTCACTTACCCCCTATCTCAGCCCATTGTTCTTTTAATTATTTTTTTTTAATACAGACTTTGGTTCAAGCTTGTTGGGTTCAAAATTGGCACACAGCCATTAGCAGGCATAAAAACAATCTCTGCACATACTAATCCAGAAACATGTGTTGTTTGTTTGTAATTTGGTGCTAAATAGTCAGGTCCAGAAGGACATCTGCTACAAGTGATCAATAAAAGGAATGAGGAACAGGGTTATACATCAGGTTATGGTTAAGGTCAGGATTAGGAAAACGTTAAGATTAAGATTTTGTTAAGAACAGGGTTAAATAGTCCCTGTTCTTCTGGACCCAACTATCTATCTAACCTGGAATTACTCTACAACACATATGTTGTATGTATGTGCAGTTATAATGTTGTACTATGTTGTTACACTACTAATTAAAGAGCGTACTTGTGTTATAAAAATGTCACATGTTGAATAAATTCTGATAAACTCAGGTAGATATTTTTTGACACGGCAACTTTTATAGACAGAGCTTTCAATTTGCTCATCTCGACAAATGGAAGTTTCTGTTCTTAAGGTTTTATAGGTCATTAATACTTTTTACAATTAACAAAATGTAAAATAATTATTTTAGTTTCATACTCAGAAAAAAGCATATTTATTATATATATATTTTCTTTAAACCTTGGGTACCCAACGTTCTTGTGTAACTGAGTACATTTTATTTTATTCCAAAGAGTATATTGTAAATGCTGCATTTTGTAACAAAAGGAGACTGTGTGCTGTTTGTAGATAACAACAAGCACAATCAGAGATGGCAACTTGATCCCCCATGAGCCACTGGATGGGGGCTTGTGTGATGACTGGGTGAATATTTTAGCCTGCAGAAGGTTCAGAAATTGCCTGAAATTGCTTATCCTTTATAATGGTGTGACCGTTAAATTGACCCGTGTGACTTTTTTTTTTTGGTGGCGTCAGGCACGGGGGCTTGACCCACGTTCCAAATTTGGTGACATTCGGTCAATAAATGTCGGAATTATTGCAGGTGGACAGACACACAGACACACACAGGGTGAATACAAAACCCTGGTCAACCCTTCGGGACCAGGTCATAAAGTATTTTTTTGTTTCTTGTTAATCTGGAAGAACTGAAAGCAGAGCTGACTGACTTCTCTTGGGTGATTCACCCCAGTTTTACTTTGCCACCTAGAAAAACATCAATTTTTTATATTCATGTATTTATTTGTTTGATATGATATAGCACAGCTGTTGGTGGAAACAGGAGGCAGGTGAAAACAAAACATTTCTGAGTACTCAAGCCCCAAATGCAGGACAATACAATGACAAACATGCATGAATCAATAAAAATGTTTGTATGTTTGATTCATTATTGCTGCTGCTTCTTCAATTTGAATTTGAGGATTTATTTATCTATGAATCTGTCTATCTAAAAGCTAATAAATGTTAATAAACGTTAATGTCACCTTTAAATTTAAATAAGAAGTGAACTAACCTTTACCAGGGCAACTCAGAACCAGAATGCCTCTGAAATGGAGCACTGCTAACAACACTCCAACGACTGCAACAGTAACAACAGCAGTAAGTACAATAGGCACGAGAGGCGAGTAATCTGAAAATGAAAGAGAAATCAGAAGATTGAGTCATACACTGTCCTAAAAAAACAAAGCATTTCTTTGCTTCACAGTGAGTAATTAACAGTGCAACATACTTAACACTGTTCAATTTTCTTAAAACACAAACCATGACACTTCATACATGTATCTATCCCAATGTATCAACACATTTCCCCTCTGACAGTGTTGAATCATATTGATAATATATTGACAGATTCAGGGTTTCTTACTAATCGTTTACTAAATGAAGTTCAGGAGCAGGACTACGTCACAACTAAATCAACATCCTTGTCATTTTTTTCTGCTCCCCGATGCCGATAGCTAACTGATTTAAACCAGGAGGTTCACTTAATACAAGTCAGTTTATTTTTGTAAAGCCCAAAGTCATGACAACAGTCATCTCACAGTCTTAAGATAATTGATTTAACCAATAGAAAGTTAGACAATCAAAGGATAAGGAAGGATATTCTCTCAACCCATCTTTCCCTCTATGGCAAGTCTAAGAACCAGTGGGTTTAAGTTATCATGTGATCCTAGTGAAAGAACCCAAGCTCCCAAACCAAAATCATCAATTATTAATTATTGTTTTGTAAAGTCTGCTATTGTGATAGCAGACTGTAGTACATTTGCAGTAACTGTTTAATTTGTAATATCTTAAAGAAATTAAAAATTGTGAGGAGACATTCTACTACATGAAGAATAATATTGGATTGGTGGACATCAGCAAAATAACAACTATAACGTCCACTGTCTGATGTCTTTGTTGTCGTGAATAGTAAGAGGCATTTCCAGATTTGACCTCATGTTGAAAATGTTTCAGTCTCCTTTCACATTGTCTGTCTTCCTCCACCGTGCCGCTGTCACAGAGAAACACCTCCTTATGATCTTTCCACCATAAAAACACTTTGCTCTCAATGTTCTTTTTGGAGTCCAGAGAACAGGGCAGAACTGCATCATCTCTTTACACCACCATCACATCTTAGCCATTACTGTATCTTATATTCATTGCTTTTAATGTCAGATTTTATTTTAAATTAAACCAGCAAACTAGGTTTTGGTGTTTTAGTGTTTTTTGTGCAAATACAAAATAGTGGCATACCTACTACCGTGAGAATAATGTGGGATTTTTGGATATGTGAATAGTGACAGCTGTATAGTCCTCTATCAGACATCTGTGTCTTCAGTATCTTTATGGAGGCTTATAGTAGAAGAAATAGTGCCTTGGTTGTGCCTCACAGCAATGAAATGCAAGTGCACACAAGGATGGACTGTGGGCTTCCACATGATCCTGCTCTCTAAAGTCAAAACACTTGCAAAAGGACTGGATTGTTGGACAAATATCGAACTTGGGTTGAATAATTGAAAAGCCATAATAAAATATTCCCCAATAACATGGCCTTTTTTTATTTAGCAGCAGTAAGATTGTATTCTGATACTGAGATGACAATACTTTCTGTATTTTTAAACCTACAATATTTTTTCCTAAACACAGCACGTAGAGTACACAGGGACTCATCTCCATGATCTTGTTGCTAGTCTTGGTCAGGACTACTTCAGCTGCAGGATTGTGCCTATGGTGCATGTTGTGGTTTGATGGGGGAAACCAGAGTGTATGAAGGAAACACATCCAGTCACAGGGAGAACATGCAAACTCCACACACAAAGGCCTGGACATCTGATCTTGTTTGCTCATAAAAATGTAAGCATTGTTCTCTGTAGCTTTTGATCAACAACCTCTTATTCTCACCTGGAATGTGCACTTTCATTGTATTACTGATCTGATGGTAGATGCTGCTCTGAGTGACCACACAGGTGTAGTTGTCACTCCTGGTCACATTCAGTTGAAGTTCAACATGAGAGCGTCCATTTTGATTCTGTGGAACATGATTTGCCAGAACGTCCCCATCACTGTTTCTCCACTCCACCTCAGGTTCAGGGACACCTTCAGCTTTACACTTCAGCTGTCGCCAAGTAACTTCATCATGAACAGTTTCAATGTATGGCACTTGAGCTGCTCCTGAGGAAAGAATAAAAAGCCTTGACTAAAATTTCCTTCAATTCTGTCTCTGAATCCTTTAAAGTACAAACAGCTGGACTATTTGTGGACCTGAAGCTCTGTGGTTTTGACCTCTGCTGTCTGATCTACTCCCATTATAAGTGGAGGTATGGATCATTTGTTGGATCTTGAAAATTACTTTTGTTTTTTTGTTTTTTTACAACTGAAGCCAAAATAACGAGTCTAGAATTTTAATTTATGCTGTCAGTGAACAAGGGTGTTGAAGTATGAGCTACTTTTAAGAAGTTTTGTTTTATGTGGAACAGAAACATTTAATATTTTTACACTTATCAGGAGCTACTCACCAGGAACGTTCTCTCCAATCTTTAAAACAACTGTAAAACAGAAATAAAAAAACATGTAGAAAGGTGTTAATAATTGTTAGATAAATCAAATGAGATGCAGTACAAGTATTTCATGTGTGGTCCTCAGAGGAACATTTGACTCAACATTATCTGTCACGTTGCATGTGGTATGAACCTGGATCTGATCAGGTTTTAGTCTGGGGATCTTTTCTTTAATATTAAATGACAAAAAAATAATAATAATAAAAAAATACTGAGGGGCAAAAAAATGAGGATGATGCATATGCAAAGTAAAACAGCACACACCACATAACAGACAACAAACAAACACAAAGAAGCCAAACAGAAGCTGTGACACATAATTTATTTGAATGACTTAAATACTCACCCACATTAAGGATAATGTTAACCACAGATGTGACAGGATTCATTATCAAACAGGTGTATGTGCCACTGTCCTCCAAACGTGTGTTTTTGATCTTTATGGAGGCATTTCCAGATTTGAGTTCATCTTTAAAGAACTCAACACGACCCACGAACTGTTCACTTTGACCTAGGAGGCCCTGGCCGTAGTATGAGCCTTTGTTATACATAAACACCTCCATCTTCTCTTCTTCTCCATTGTCTTTCCTCCAGTCAAACTGCTCAATGTTCTGTCCAGAGCTCAGAGCACAAGGGAGAAGAGCATCTTCCCCTTCTGACACAGTCACCATATTATTGGGCCCTACAACATACAACACAACAAGTATCAGCACAGACAATCTTTTTAAATGGACAAGACTAAATATCATGGAGAGAGGGAGGATACAAAAGAAACTAGAAAAGAAGTGAGGCCCATTAATACAGATAGAAGAACAGTGTTTAAGCAGAAGGCTATTCAAGTACTTTGAACAATAGGCTATAGATGGAACATTTTAGTTTTTTTTTTTTTTTTTTTTTGTTTTTTTTGTTTTTTTGTTTTTTGACCTCCGAAGGAAGAATCAGGTTAGATCAATGTTTTTTATGCACCGCTCCTGCATAAAACGACGGAAGCTCTCACCACCAGAGGTCACTACAATCCACATAATAATTGATATTCTGCTGGAGTCGAGTCTACAAATCCCTACAAATCCCTGCTAAAGTTATGAGACACAAATAATGACGTCACGAAATGACACTAGATGCACTTTCATCAATAATAGCCTTTGTACAAGTCTAATACATCCTGATGTGAAATAAGTTTCATGGATGTCCAAAATCACTGGGTTAATCCACAGTGACGCAGGTGTCGGAAAACAGCACAGACCCGCAAACAAACACAAACTGTCACAAATGAACCAGTGGAGCAGGTGTCGTGTGGTTTTCTTACTTGGTGTCTTGCGCAGACGCTGGTCCAAAGCCCGGAGACAGGAGGCAGAGCAGCGGGAGCAGCGGGAGCAGGATCATGTCTACACCGTGATGGGAGCAGTGTCCCTGTGGCTCAGACACAGTGAGACATGGAGAGACACAGTTCTGCAGGAGCGCAGACTCTTATCACATCTGTGCTTCCGGTCCCATCACTGCAGCGCCACCCACACACGCGCGGGCACGTACTTCAGATATTTATTGCACGGGTTCCAAAAGTTGGGTCTGTGACTCCTGGGGGTCTCCGATGCTTTGTCCAACCGTTGCAGAATATTAAATGGATACAGGGGTTAAATCACATGACAGTTTACTTGCAGAACAAAGTGTATCAATATCATATAAAATCATATAAATAAGGCAATTTGTGTAAAAGAATGAAAGAGAAAGAGCAAACTAGATTTATTACTACCACTAGTACTACTACTACACTCATTTACACACACTTATAATCTCGACCGTTTGGAGGAAATGTAAATGTGATGATTTCTAACTTTTGTTCTACTTTAATTTATTTGCGTTAAGACATTTTGTAATGACCACAGTACAGCCTTTATCGAATTATGTTTTCCAAATGTGTGCAAAGCTAAATCAACATCAACATTCAATCCATTGATTACAAAAATATATATTCTTTAATCTGAAACCAAAAACTAGTATGTGGTATTGAAAACTGATGCTCTTGAATTAAATGTTAAGCAGACATTACATTACATTTAATTTAAAAAGTAAAGTAGTAGATAAGTAGACCTGTTTATTTGCAGTGAAGTGTTTTAACATGTGGCACAATGCACATGCATAGACATTTAATTGATGTATTTTTTTTATTTATGTATCAAAGAACCGGGTTATGTTAAGTAACCTTGAGTTCTTTTTTTTAACATTGTTCGGTGTTTCACTGTCGGAGATATGGCCCACAGCAATTAAAGCTCCTGAAGCAGTGGGTCACTGCGTTGCCAGTGACCCTAAAAGGAGGTTAGGGTTAGGGTTAGGTGAAACCAGTTCGAAGATCATCTGTGAAACACAATGGCCTTGTTGTTAAGATCTATAAGGTTGGGTGTGGGGAGTTCTATAATTTTAGCAGTGATGTGTGTTACCTTTGTGAGTTTCGTCTACTCTCTGTATGAGGATCTCATGATTGACAGTGTCAAAAGCAGCACTCAGATCTAACAGGACCGAGTCTTTGCAGTGTTCAGGCGGATGTCATTTGTCACCTTGATAAGAGCCGTCTCAGTGCTGTGTTGGGCTCTAAAACCTGACTGGAAAACATCAAATGATTTGTTCATTTGGAGAAGGTTGGGACGTATTTATACCTTCAGTCCAATTAAAACAGGCTAGAGCTCAATTCCCCTGAAAGTCCGGACTTTATTTCAGGTGTGAATAAAGACAAGCCAACTCTGATCTGGACTAAACAAGTGCACCGAGACCTGCCTGGGGAGGAGGACTGCCTCTGCACAGATCTGACCTGTAACTTGGTCTGGTTTGGTCTCCATAAAGATTAAAAGGTTTAATGCCATACTGTGGAACATTCCAGATAAAAATAACATCTCCGTGAAGAAAAGCATTTGACGGACCCTCCACCAGAAAAGTTACACAATGCACCTTTAACAATATATAGAAACACAATTTGGATTTTTTTATGGCCATGTTGAGATTTGTCGACAAAACAAAAAGAAAATAGTTATATTTTCAAAACACAATTACTGTACATAGATAAGCAGTATATATAGCATTGTATGGATATGAATTTTTATTTAATCCACATATTTTGATGGTAAAGTGTGGAAATATGCAAGAATTTTCAGGCCCGACGTAGCTGCAAAAAGGACTTGATGGAAAAGCAAAACGGACAATTCTATGAACTTTGGGTGACATTTATAGATAATAATATTCACTGTACTTTTTTATAGTAATATGTAATGACTACATTTTATAACCTGGGTTTTGTATGCATGTATTTCAATGCAGAGACTCAAGGCACACAGTACACGCACTGATGTTTGTGACTTGTTTTTATTTGGTTTGTAATTGTTTTTATTTTGTTTAATTGTCATTTTTTATTGTTGCTTTGAATTTGAATTTTAGATTTTGTTATTTTTTTGCTACCACTCTAAACTATGCTGCGCTTTGAGCCATAGAAGAATTATTGAAAAGCAGATATAAAAACTGTAATTCACTGAAATGAACAAAAATATGTGAAATAAGTTCTAAAATTTTAACAATTTTATCAGTATTTTTCGGTGGCTGTGTTGTTACAGTTTTTCTCCATTGGTTTGGCTCATTTCTTGAAACAGAAATGACATTCTTAAAACACTACAAGTTCATTTGGCCAAACAGTCTGATAGTTCTGCACAACATTAAACGCTCGTCAGCAAAAGCTCATATCTCTCCCAAAACTGTTCACACAGGCTTCAAAGCAGATTCCTTTCCCATATAAAGAGTCAGTGCCATCAAAATTGGCAAAGATCCTTCTCAATTACTTTGGCTCTTTTGCATTCACTTAGTTCTTTTTTTTTTTCAAAATAACCTGGATGGTTCAGCACAACATCATGTGTGAAAACTAAATTCCTTTCTCATAGAAATAGTCATTGCTCCCAAAATGCAGCGTCCCTTTGGCCTTCTGTCAGCGCTGCAGCTCAAAATGCTTAGATGTTTTGTCACTATGGCAGAGGTCTAACTAACACAATACAATTATGGATAAAACTGAAAAGAAGGATTTCACAGTAAGAGCAGCCTCCAAAATTTGACATCACACACACACACACAGCTCTCACACTGCCAACAAAACTCTAACCGTTTTATTCACACACATAAAGTCACTTCCAGACATTAGAGTACATAAAAAGAAAATGTGTACAGCATTCTGTACATGTACCAAATATAAACACAAACAAACAAAAAAAAGTAAAGAAAAATGATATCGAGCCTACAGTGCTGTAAATAAAGGAAATAAAGTTTCTACAATAACACTTTCACTGGGCGCTGTCGTCAGGAGGGAAGAAACGGCGCAAATGTCTCAACCATCCCCTCCCTTGTGATGTCCTCACATGCAGCATCCATTCCATGGAGCAGGGACCTCTGGTCTTCAGCCTGATGTTCATACACTTTCCACCTCCAAGCAGAAAAAAACTCAGTCAGATTGAGGGAAGGAGAGTACGGTGGTAGTAGCTCCTTGAGCATCTTTAAATAGGAAGTGAACCAGGCCTTGATGAGCCACGGTGGAAATTCACACTGTCCCACATGATCACATAATGTGATAGGAAGTTCTTATTTCACCTGACTGACAATTACTGTCATGAATTTATCAAATGTTCATATATATATATATATATATATTATATAGATATATACATAGATATAGATATAGATATATGGTGTTTATGGTATTTTTAATTTTGACAATTGAACAGACTATTGTGCATATGATGACTCAGACAAACAATGAAATCATGTTGACATGTTTTGGGGAGAACAACCATTAGTCTGAGAAACAACTCATCAGTGGCAGCACGGTGACTGAGTGGCTAGCACTCATGCCTCACAGCAAGAAGGTTCCAGGTTCAGTCCCTGGGCCTTTCTGTGTGGAGTTTGTTTCTCCTCGTGTCTGGATGGGTTTACTCCAGGTGCTCCGGTTTCCCCCATCAACTCCAAACATGCTACACAGGTCTCCAGGAGTTGATGGTTAAGGTCAGATAAATACAATTGATCAATGAACCTGCCCAGGGACGACAGGTGGAAATTAGCACTGATGCTACAACCTGATGTACAATACCTCTCTCCTGTTAAGGTTGATGTAAAAATTGTGCGCTGTCCCTGTCTCATTAAATAAATAAACAGTTTAGATCAACAAGATCTATTTATTTGGAAAATGTGCTAAATGTTGCCTCATTGTGTTAACTGCAGGTGACTTGTACAGAACCATGTACAAAGATGCACTGAGACACTTGAAACATGCACAACGACAATTGTAATTTGATGAAATCAATGAGAAATGCCATTCTGTTTGTGAACGACTGTGAGGTGGTTTGGAGATTTGTCCATGTTGTTTTGAGAATGTCATTTCTGTTTCAAGAAATGAGCCAAACCAATGGAGAAAAACTGTAATAGAAAATGTTTAAAAAAATGGCATTTCACCCAAATAATAAAGCTGCACTATGTAACTTTTTCTGGTACAGGGTTGCTCCCTTGTCTCCATGGCGATGTCATTGCTTTGTCTGCAAAGTTGCACAGTGTGGCATTAAACTTCTCCATAGACAACTGTATGATTCTAACAGGCAAGTTACAGGTCAGATCTGTGGAGAGATGACGTCTTTATGTTTATGTTACGTCTTTTTTTTTTATGTA